TCTCGCCACCCGCGGGAATCGCGATGCGCAGATTGGTCCACTCGAGCCTCTCGACGATTCGCTCGGCCCAATAGTACTCGTTCTCCAGAACGTCCACGTATCGATGTTTCAACTCCTTCCAGCGCTCGTGCCCGAACCACCTCTCGTATTCGTCGTACGCCTTCTCGCGAAACCACGCGTGCACCCTTCGTCTCGCGCCGCGAGGCCACACGAACACGGCATCTCGGTCGACGACGACTCCCTGTCTCGCCGCGCGTTCGCCGGTTCCGCGCACACCCAGCTCTCGGTCGCGCAGAAATCGCACCGGCGACACCAGGCGCTCGTCGTCGGCCGGATCGTCGCGGAGGACGCGAGCGACGTCCTCCACCTCGTCGACCGCGAACTCGTCTAACGTGTGATCCTCCACCTCGTCACCCGCGATCTCCTCGAACATGACAACGGTTTGCCCAACGTTGGAACGATTTCTTACGAGACGCTCTCGTCTGCTGCACCGCGAGAAAGAGCGACCGTACGGAAGAGAGAGACAAACGCGAGAACCCTCCTTCTTGTCGCGCGCCACGAGAGCGCTCGAGAGCTCAAACCGAACGAACCGCGCGCGTCTCGTCTCGATCCCCCGAGGCGTCGCCGTCGCCGTTCGCCGCGCGCCTCCGAGCAACGGGGATCGCGTGGACGCGGGAGAGTCGCGGCGCGCTCGATGGGATTCCCACGATCGCGCGTTTTCGCCGCCGCGGGGCCGTTTTCGCGGACGCGAGGCGCCGAACGGGCGTCCCGCGGCGCGATCGAGAATCTCCCGTTCGCGCGAATCCCGCTCGCGGCGTCGTCCCGTCTCGAGTGGGACGACGCCGGCGCCGTGTCGCGAGAGGCGTCCCGCTTCGTTTTCCTCCCTCCTCGATCTCGCCTCGCGACGCGCGCTCGAGCGGAAACGTCCGCGCCGAGGGCGAGGAAAACGTTCGGTCGAGAGTAGCGTGGACGGGCAGCGCGCTGGAACGCCGCGCGGGGCTCGCTCGCTCGCTCTCTCGTCGATCATGTCTCGCGATCTCTCTCTCTACGCACGCGACTGACGTGCTCGCTTTATACGGCTACGGGGGGGGGGGGTTTGACAGCGTTTGAAATAGAAAGACGCGTCGTCGCGAAGAGATCTCTATTCGAAAGGAGGGGCACGTCGTCGTTCGCGTTTCGTCGCGTCTCACGTTTTTACGTTCACGTTTTATTTATCGCGTACGCTCTCTCTCGGCGAGCGTCGCCGATCGCGCGGAAGAATCCCGCGGGCGATCGCGCGTTTTCGCGAGGCGGCGCGCCATCCCGCTCGCGGCGTCGTCCAAGCGACGCTTGCCGAGAGGCGTTTCCTCCCGCTCCGTCGTCGCGACGCGCGGAAACGTCCGAGGTTGAAAAAAGAAGCTCGGTCGAGACACGGCGGGGTAGCGCTCGCCGCAGCTCGTTTTTCACGTTTATGTTATTATTATTATTATTAATGTTACTCCCGCGTGGAAAAGAT